CACCATTTATACAGACATGTACATGTACATGTCCAAGTACCAGCAACAATTTGATAGAGCTGCACCTGCCAGGCTCTAGGCTCAGAAATACCTTCTTGCTATGAAGACCCAAGGTTATACGAAAGTTAAATACAAGCCACACAACTACTATCACAAACTGAAACCTCTTAACAGAATGCCCTTTTTATGAATAAATATACTTTTGAAAAAATCCTAGAGATTAGAAATGACGATGTGATACATGGAACTTGAGAACACATTTTGTTAAAGCCACTGTAAAAATACAAAAAAAATTCACAGCCATTTTTAAAATAAATTTATGGGGAGGGGGTGTAAAGAAATGTAACAGCTAAAATTTTCCAAAATGGTTGGTAAATTTTCTGGACTTATTCTTACACTTGTACGTCTATATCAAGGGAGTCTTCACCAACTGTACAGATTTTAACTTGCATTACTGTCTACAAGAAATCAGTGATAGTCAAAATGCATTGTATATGCCCCCCTGCCAAAACCTCCCAGAAATAACAAGAATGTTGAAGCAGGTCAGGAAAAGGAAGTCAGCAGGGATGAGAGAGTAGCTTAATTGTTTACTTGGCCTAATGGATTCTGATGGAATATGGCCTGTTTTTCTACTCACAGCAACAATCATGATGGCGTTGTCCAGGAAACCAAAGCCAATGAATGGAATGCCATTACTCAACACCACTGCAAACAAATTGAATGCACCAGACATGAATCATGGAGGTCTACACACAAAATTACTACAAATTTGATGCATGATGAGATAACTGAATTCCTACTATTACTGTCTGCATAAATTAGCATAGTTAATGATCAAATTGCCGTGTACACTTTCTACACGACCAAAACATGCACCTATATGTACTACAAATGCACTAATTAATGAGCTTTGCTTTCTGCTAGGATATGCTTTGCTGTTTCAGAAAAGATTTTGATTTCTTTTGAAGGCATCCATTACAAGATAAAAGCATTAATAAAACATATTTAGAAATTAATAAGAAGTTATAGATATCGGCATTCAATCCCCAATCACCATTGAGGAAAAAAAGGACTCTTGAAATATTTGCTCAAACACGGACTACCCACATCCCTATTCTACAAATTTACAGAGTCTGTAATATTTAAAATTTGGAAACTTATTATGTAAATTAAAAAAAAAATAAATATAGGGCCTGGGTAATGACAATGGTGAACCTACCCAATCTCAACTGTGCTTTCGATGGTGACTCGATTTTGTCTTTAGCTACATGTATAAGGGTTGGGAAAAAGAATAAACAGCTTAGCAAAAAAAGTAAAACATGCACATGTTGTTCGTTATCTGCTCCATAATTCCAGTCTGCAAACAGAAGGAAGGTAATACTTTAAAGCAAATAACAATGTCACATTTACATGGCAGTGCATTCTTTTAGTGAAATGAAGACAAAAATTCCTCACAGTATATCTAATGGCTTCCTAATACCATTAACATGATTTTTTAAGGTACAAGAGTGTGACTGGTTTACTGGCCATGTTATTCCTGTTTGAAGGAATTATTGCCTTAATTTTTCTTAAAATAATTCTGTCATTTTTGCCTACTTCAATGTAGCATATCTGCCGACGTGAATAACACTGTCACTGTGTGTATGTGTGCAGGCCTATATGCTTTATGACCATGCTTCATGCGGCATTGTCATTCTGATTCTGAACTCAAACTATTTGGACTTATGAAGATGAAAAATGAATGAGTCGTTGCCTAAACCACAACATTTTTCATTCTCAGATTCACATCTTTTCAATGTGTTTGCAATCAATGGTGGTTAGTGTTTAATATCTGGACACCTCTTGACACCCGGCATCTCCGGTACACTATGCACAAGCCCTTTGAGTTTGAGACTGGTCTAAAAGTCATGTCAAGTAAAGGAGGTCTTACAAATTTTTTGCCAAAATTCTATGAACATTCTAGGACATGATATCACTTTCTGATGGCTGAATTGTCACTGCTGTCAGTCATGTCAGTGTATGGACATGATGGAGTTCTTACCCAAGAAAGCCTGATTCAAATTCAAAACTTTGCAACAAACCTGACATAGGCCCCTAAGCCTTATCGCTGATAATACTGTGATTTTGCATAATAGTATAAAGGCATCATGGGAAGGAAAAAGGTGCTAAATCAGCCATTTGGTATCCCTCCTAGGCCTGATTACATAGGCCCACATCATATCATAGGCCTAGTTGATGACGTCAAACCAGTCTCCGGGCATTGCAGGGCCAAAACTGACATGACCAACATGAAAAATGGCAACTTACCTGTTTTTTGATATTGATCCTGCAATCTTTGGAGTTCGGCAAGAACGAGAGCCCGCTCATTTGGAAACAACGAGGCGGCAAAATTTTTACACTTATCTTCCGTGTCTAGCGTTGCTACTGGCCTACCGCGGAAAAAGCGTCCCCGATATGTGTACTGATGCCTTTTATGAATATTCCAACAGCCACACGATCTAAACGCAGACTGTACACCGGGGCTATAACCGTTCCCGCAGAGAACCACCCCACCGGTAGAATTTTTGACTGGGAACCGGAAATCTTTGCATAAATTGCTCAGAACTCGCCATGGACAGATCTTTCGCGTGCACGCTGCCATCTTTGATCGCACGAAGAGGGCGCCCCCTTTTGACAAGAATCTATTAAGTGAACATTCTCGAAACCTTGGATTCATCCGTAACGGTTGGTCCCCCTAATAATATTATCTATAGCTCCAAGACTTTATAATCGCCAGTCAAAATGGGTCCATCTGTTCTATTTAAAATGTGACAGGAAATCAACGACTATAGTCTCTGCCTTATCTCAGAGTTAAATGCTGAAAAGTAGGTACGTGTAAGTGGTCAAATGTTGAGCCAAACAGAGAACATGCTTAACTTTTAGGAACTTCTGAAAGTTAGGCATATTCTCAGTTTAGCTCTAAAGGTGCTCCTCGTCTTGTAAAATCCCTGCGACTTTACTACGAACAACTGAAACCCCTGTAAGCATACAAGCTCGCGCCAACCTGCTTAAAATCAAACATTTCCTAGTCTTAATGATTAAAATATATTTCTTGAAAGAGTCCTGAAATTAATATCAATTGCGATAATGGGTCATTTTCAAAAATAACAGTAAACTTAACAGAGCAAGTGGAAAATTATACGTTTACAAGAAAACAAACCAAAGTTAATTGCATAATAACCTATTTTTTATTATCATTTTCTAAATAATAGTTGAATACATTTCTCAATTTTAATAAGGCAAGTGGTCAATAACTTTGAACAAAAGGATGAATTAATTTTGATTTAAAACGTGATTTAATTTAATAGCCTGAATCCCTAATGTTTTTCAGCGATTCTTAATTGAAAAATGGGTGTGGTGCAATTTTATGAATTTTACGTTATTCGGGCAGTATCTAATGGGGAAAAAAGCTTGATTGGTTAATTCTGACTTCTCGACAATCCGATTGACTTAGGGTAGATAGACGCCGTCAGAAGAGCAGAATTGGAATCGTATGTACTCTTACTCACTCTATATTATATAATGAGAAATAATTACAAGATTACACCAAGAACAAAGACCAAGCGAAGAGGCCGTGTTTGCCCAGTAATTCAGTTGCATAAGGCCAATATCTGTACAATTTCCACACACCTGAATTTGTCCAACATCCCAAATGAACAGTCAAGTCTGGCTACGACTATGCCGATGCCCCATAAAATTCATGTCAATCTGAAGCTTGCCATGAAAAAAAGCCAATCGCCAAAATGAACCTTAATTGTGTCTTAGTCAACCCTGGTTTCCATTTCCCCAACTATTTTAAAAGGTATCCATTTTGGAGCTTTTTTGGCTTTTATGCAAATGGTATTTCCACAAGTATGAGCAAAACTGTGATGTCATCATCAGGAAAAAATCCTCAATGTTACATTGGTTTTGTGCACAAAAAACCCTGCTTTTTATGGATTTTGCTGGCCTACAATTTCTCTGTTTTAGTGATTCATTGTTCTCCTTAGACGTGCTCCTTAACTATGTCTTCCCTGGATGACATCACAGCAACAGCGCCCTCATTTGTCAAGGAGAGGAGGGACAATTTTAAATGCTTAAAAAAGTACATTTTTCAATGCATTTAGTATAAAAGTAAATATTTCAAACAATTCTCATACACTGCAGAGGAGTATAGTTTCAGAAATGTGTCTAAGGAAAACCCAATACTGTTACAAGCAATTCTTCTTTGAAAATACATAATTATGTATATGTCTTTATTATGAATGGCGTTATTGATAGGCCTATGTACTGGTGACGTCACACTTTGTTTACATGGACACTTTTGTATGGACGCCCAGGGTCCACTGAAAACTATAAGAAAGCACACGCGTAAGCAGCGGGTGATGTCATCAGCGCAGAGGTCTACACGCTGTGACATATTTTAAACATATCTCAGTTCAAAGACAAATGGTACTGTGCAAATTTCATGATAAAATCTCACGTCCAAAACTGATACTCCAATCTTCTCAAATCATTTCAAAATTACTGTATGCACAGCGATATTCACGAAAGATGTCATTAAAATTACAATCTTTACAGAAATATCTACAACCTACTTTATTTAAGCAGAGAATACTGTCATGCACTTATACGGATAAACCTCGTTATTGTTTGTGCTGTCTCGGCGCTTTTCAATACGGAATGTTCTCATAATAAATGTTTCTGCAATAAATATTACTATCACATACTTGCAATTCATGCGGTAGGCCCACAGATGGCTTTTCCCGACGGGTTAACGAGAAACCAATCTCTCCAAAGAAAAGTAATTATTGTACTTTTGTACAGAGATTAAACTTGCCACAACACTGCAAAAACAATGTATGGTAAAGATCAAATCATAAAGGTTTACAGTGGCTAGTAAATAAATCTTTACTGCTTCGAGTGGTGTAGTAAACTTAGCCTCTTGAGGTGATTCATACAGCATTCTAGCCGAAGCCAAGGGAGACTAGTTCTACTCTACCAAAGATAAAGCAGTCAATTTTGTTTTATAACACCTCATCGCATAATACACACTATGAACCAAAATACACGCCTGGGTACTATTCATAGTACCCATACAAACTGAATTCTTTCCACTAGGAAAAAACTGAGCTTCCAGACGAGTAACTAAACTGACAGAGATACTCGATCCCATCTTCAAAAAACAAATCAGAAGAGAATGATAAACCTCGCCAAAGGTAGTCACGATACAAGTCAAACTAAAGCTCGCTTCACCATTTTATTTTCTGTTAATCTACGGCGAATTCTGGAAACAGACTACCTTATTCAAGTTCCTTGCTTAAATTTCACAGAAATAAAGTCTCCTGTCCTGAGCCTCTGCCCACGTGTGTCTAAAAACCTACGAGCGCCTGAGCCAGAAAACGCTCTTGTGATACGGATAATCGGGATTTCAGTCAGTGCAGGGAAATAATTGACATTTCTGGACTAGATCCTAGCTCTAGGTAGTCATAACTGACCTATAGTACGAGTCAGACTTTGTCGGACCCGCATATCCCTCCTTCAGTTTCCTTGTACTGTTTCCTTGTACGGGCCTTCAGCATCTTTCCCCTGGGTCGACGTCATTTCGAAACCACGGTACCTCCGGCTGCAAAACCTGTTGCGGGACATGGTCTGCCGGACGATTTGAGCCATAGTGCTGCCTCTGGTTCATAATAAACAGAAACACCAATTGAAGTTAAAGTTAAAAGCTTTTCCCTTTATTCTTGTTGAGTATCTTTGAAAACACGCACTGCAGCGAGAGTGTCCAGTTGCACCTGACTGGCCACGGAGCATGCTTGTCCAAATGGATTTTAATACCCTCTTTAGTGTGTGTCTCCTGTGTATTGACGTTATATAAGTTGTTGTCTTCTGTGGACATCTTTGGTTATACGAACAAATTTTCATATGTAAAATGCTGGATTACAATTTACTAGAATGCCAAGCAATTTTGTCCTCGTGGAGGAACTCACGAAGACAAAATTCTCCCGAGGAGAAATTTCGACACAGAACACACGGAGATTAAAATTCGCGTTTGCATTCTTTGGGACCATAACATGGCTCTAAAAAGTATGAATTCTATCCCAATTTCTTGAATTGGACCCTCTGTCAACACGAAATCCTATTATTAAGCTATTTCCAAAAGTATACCAGGATCACAGATCAGGACAATGCAATCGACAGGTCTGAGTTCATGGGCTCACCTGCGACCGGACGGATGCTCTCCTTCGTCCATGTCATCCGCCTCCGAGCGAATCTCCATCTTCTGGACGATGAGACGAAGCAGGTTATACTGCTTGTCTAATTGACTGGTTATTTCCTTCATCCTAAAACGAATCGTTTATCACTTGTCAGAGAGTCTTCTATATTCTATTCTAAGATGTCCCCCACTTTTCTCTTTTTCCACCCACAGTGCCCACAGTTTGAACTCCACCTGGCTCATTGTGTATTAATGTCAGTCCTCATTTTCATATTTCACAATCGCGTGAAAAACGAAACTTTATATTTTCACACCAAAAACAAAACAAAAATCCCTACCCTCCGTCTAAGCTTCTTGGGTTCACTATATAATTGTATTTGGTGGAAATAACGAGCCAGCCCTTTTTGGACTTCCCTTATGTTGTCACACATGACATGCCCTTTTCAACTGAAACATATAAAAGCGATATTTCTACAGGGTATAAAAGTTGAAAATAATGACAACCACACGTACCTTCGCTTCTGTTTCATAAGTTCCCCGTGAACCACGTTGATGTGCACGTCAGCTGCTGTCCTCAACCGCTCTTTTGGCATCCCCTCCTCCATGCCAGCCGACTCCATAATCTTCAGCCAAAGCTTCACCGGCAAAAGATTCAGCAAAAAAGAGTCAGGCTGAAAGGATCACCAAACTGTTTTCTACGCCATAGTAAAATCTGTCAGTCAACTAAAACCAAATGGGTGGATAAGACCGAAGCCGATGGAAACAAACCAATGGCCCCAAAGCATATTAACCACCACATTGGAATTTGATAAATTTGACTTGATGTTGAATTCAGAAAACGGACTTGAACCAGCATTTTTAGTCCTCCCCAAGGCCTCAAAGATCCTCAACATAAACCGATCTGAACTCTCAACATTATTTCAATTTGGTGTTTAGCTCAGGGTTCATGTATTCGCTTGAAACTCTGCCTGCTCTGCCTGCTAGAATCTATTATTACATATTTGAAATTGAGGATTTAAGCGTTTCCCTATGTTCCTTCTGTGCTTTTCCATTTCACAGCCGCGCCGCTTTCATACTACAGAAAATACTGACAATTGGCTCACCCTGGTCAGAAACTTTTTCTTGCAGGGCGGTCTGACGGTCAGATGGTCCTTTTCTCCGTACTTCAGAATGCGTTTTGGCAGCTTGTGTTCCAGTTCCGTGTGTAGCTCTACCTGCATGGCCAGGCGCTTGAGGCGAGCATTGTACTGAACCTCGGCGATGTCGCCAACAGCCAGACCAATCTGGGATTCAGAGGAGAGAAATGGCAACCGCAAGAAGCGTACAAGTCTGAGGGTCATTTTCTTTTTGAATTTTCGGGCGCACAGGCAATCCGATGCTTTCAAGAACAACGCATGAATTTCAGATCGGTGTCGAAGCCAAAACTCGCTGATAAGCCAATGCCTGTCACCGTAGATGCGGTTTTTGCTTTCGAATTTACGCCATAAAAGAGAACAACCCGAGATTCAAAGTTTTGATGCTGATTTGACCGTTGGCTGGGACCCTTTTTCCAAACACACCCCGGTGAAATTTCAGTGATATCCTCTGCTAAACTGAAGTTAATAAGAAAAAGCTTGACTAAAACAGTGTCTCGTTTAAATGAGTGTGTTTCTTAGATTAAGATATCAAGTAAGTACAGACGCAATTTGTATTCTGTATCGACCGCTAGGCTAGAAACAAAATTATATTTCTTAGTTGTCAGAGCAAGACGGCTCGATTTGACTTAGAGTTGCTAACAATGAACAAAGCTTTATTTACCTAGTATCAACATAAAACCTATACCGGTTTAAAACTGGTATCCAGGCATCTCAGTCAATGCGGAAGACATTCTATTTTCCCATAGTTTATTTGAGTTGGAATAGATTTATTTCATCATTTACTTTCTATGTTTCTTTTAAGGTATGGAAACCAAACTACTAAATTATTCCAACCCACCAGCAAGTTCATCAGCAGAACCGGAAGCAGCAAGACGCAGGCGAAGAGGAAGATGAAAGTGATCTCCGGGTGAGGCATTGTGATCGGGTCGTAGTCCAGCGAGGGCTCCACGAAAGAGTTGATGTAGTCCAACTCGCCCAGCATCAAGGCGGTGCACACCCGGAGCATGGACATGATGGGCGTGGCGTGGGCTTTGCTTGCCTATGGAAACAGCACAGAATGTTCCCTGTATTGGTGCGCCCAGGCACAACCGTTGTAGGCTGCCTCAATGAGTTATTTCAAATCAGAGATCAGTCTGTCCACTGGTCAATACACTTGATAGTTCTCTTATTAGCCTTTCGAAAGACTTACATTGGGTTCTACTTCTAACACAGTAAAAAGCACCTTAAAAGGGGCAGGCATAGTGTTATGATGAAATATACTTTCCCGTCAATATGTTCTTTTGGAAGACGGGATTTGAAACATGCTCTTGGAGCGGATTTGAAAAACAAAGGTGTGGGGAAGTGAGCTTCGGAAAAACGGGCTAGTGCACGTTGGTACGCGCCTGTGCTTGGTAGTGCAGCGTCAAATTGCTCTTCGGATAGACGTATATTTCACCTGCATGGGTTATATACGTAGAATTAAAGTCCCTTAAAGTAAGGTAAGAGAAGGAAAGGGGCATGAATTGAATTATAAAAATGAATCTTCACCTCTTGCGACAGCAGCATGAAGAACGCCAGGCCAAACGCAATAAAGAGAATTGAGAAGACGAAAAGAACCTGGACAAGGGTTCGTAGAATCTCCAGAAACATGACGACATAAATGCCAAATATGTCAAACCTGAGGCAAATGATTAGAAAACGGAGGAAGGTTATCGCCCTATTCCACCTACAATTCTGTAAAATACTCATGGCGTAAATAGGTATTTCAATGGTCATCAATATATGTTTCCGTTATTGGACTAGCCTTACGGATTGGGTGCGTTGTCTTGTTAATTTTCAATCTCTGTAAGGTAGAAATTAGCGTAGCACAGCAGATGAGGAATTCTCAACTAACCCTCGAAACTGGTGTTTTTTCCAGAAAATTCACAAGAAGTTTCCTTCACCCTTATACAGAATGTTTCATGCTAATTGTCTGAATACAGAGTTTTGTTTTGGAATTTGTGCCATATGCGGTAAAAGTGCACCCTTTGTGAGTGCTTTGCGAAAAGGAAACTGTGATTCTGCTCAACGTTTGTAGTTTTTAAGATGAAAATATATAGTCCTGCAAATAACTTAGGCTTTACTGGAATTACATTCTTCCTTGTATATGAAGGAGCATTTCCAAGATACAGAAACATGTAATGATCTTATCTTACCGTTGGAGGTACAGAAGGAGATTAAACCAAGCCAAAAAGACAGCGATTGCACCGAATGGCGTCTGCCACGACAAATTGCACCGGGGAATGTCGACGAAGAACGGACAGACATAGAGCAGAGTCGAGATGTACAGCACACATTCGATTGCATTGTTGGCCTCCAAGAAGTACTTATGCCTCTGTGTTATGACAAAACGGATGACGACCATTTCACAAAAGAAATACGTGTAAAAGTAAAAGACAAGACACCGACTGCCCATTAGGCTTATTGCACAAGTATTTTACCAAACTGAACTCGCTAACAGTACATGTATTATTGGCAAAGCCATTAAAATGTACACTATAAGCCTGCCCGGAACAGGTAACTGACGTTGGTTCCAGTTCTGGTTCGTGGCCTATTCCTTGACATCACTAAATGAAAGAACTTTAATACCTGGTGTACCAGCTGTCCCACTTCCTTTAAGATGCTGAGACCCGCATACACCGCCAGAGTCCATTTACTAACTTCGTGTATCAGTGGTATCTGTACGTCATGATTAATCAATGAAATTCAAAATGTTATGAGACTTTCAACAGGCTGTACGCTGACCCAATGATTGCAGATTAACCTGACCCATGCAATGATTGCAGATTAACGCGTGCTTATTGGGGATTTTCTTCCTCTTTGATGAGTAAATGCAGAAACCATTTGTCTTCCTCGTAAGCCATATTAATCTTCAATTAAAACAGGATCTGTACCTCTTGATGCCCAGCCGAGGTTGCCTCACACGAGAGGTTGGCGTGGATCGATTTGGACAGCTGTAAGGGTACTTTGTGCCATATGAGCAGCGTCAAGAACGCCAGGAAAAACAGGTAGAGAAGGATGTTCAACATGTGATAGGTGCGCCCATATGCCTTCCTGTTGAAATTAGAGACAATTATACATTGTAAAAAAGGTTGGTCAAACAGTGTTGGGAATTTGTTATTTGTCCAACCTTGGTTTAAGTTACCACATTGTTGACTAATTTCCATCACTGTTGGTCAAACATTGACCAACGATTGGGAAGAATTTGCCCAAGGTTGGGAAGTTTATATTTACACCAACATTGAGCAAAATATCGACGCAATTTGACCAACCTTTTTACAGTGTAGACGTGGTTACTTGGGAGCGGGAGTCAAATGTGGACAGTTTAACTGCTGTACTTTTTATCACGTCAGTGGTTTCCACAAAGAGAATGTTGGTGCTTCGCCTTTCATTTATTTTACATGTACTTATTCCCCTTGGTGTACCTTTAACATTTTGTCGTTAATGTTCATCACCTTAATGTGCAATTTAAATTGATTGTAACTGTTTAAATTTTTTCGTTAACATTTTAGTAACTTATTCGTTAATGTAATGTTATGAATTGTACAGTTTTACTGTAATTTGGCCTCTGGCCACAAGAGTAAAATAACCAAACCAAACCAACTTCCAATCGTTAAAAAGAAACCGAACAAAATTGAATACGTTTACAAAAGATTCAACTCTCTGTATCTAAAGGGGTGCATTCCTGTTTGTCCAGCAGAAAGCGTCGACATTTATCTTTGCCCGTGTCTTATTCACACTGAAGCTCCTTAAGTAAAAACGAAACAAACAAAAACCTACCATTTCATAGACAAGAAGGTCACGCATACAGGATGTGAGAGGAGCTTGATGCGATTAAACTTGACCATAGTCTGCAAAATACAGAAACACAAACAATAACAATGCTATCCACTTTGGATAGCTCTCCAAGAAAAGTGTTAATAGTGCCATCTCCCCGAAAATACAGAATGTCCCCAATAACAACTGCTTGAACTTACATTCAAGACCAGTAGAGGCACGTAAGCCGTCTTCTCATCAGAGAAATTCTGCTGCGACTGCGCACTGCACTGAAGGTAACGGAAGTCATAGGAGTACTGCAAGAACACCAGGCAAGAATGGAAACTGACTTACGATAACAAACCCAGTACCATTACGTGTGATGCTGCATGTAAACAATGTCAACCTACATCAGTCTTGATTCTTTTGACAAGTTCATCAAACCAAATTGTATACAATTTTCCGAAAAAGAGAAATATGCATCTAACTTTGAATCTCTGTGTTCACTCAGATATACAACCTTATAAAATGACCCTTCAGCTTTTGGACTCAAACTGTAGGTACATGGCGAGTGATGCCTGACGCGTACGGTAGACAAATTACAATAAATGTGACAGAATTTCACATTTGATCTGCCTAGCATTTTGATAATTACATAAACGAATGGCATGTACAGTGGCACTTTTAGGCAATCGAAAGCAATAGCACTTTAGAAATGACATCACCACCTTTCCGATTCCTTTGTGGAGGAAAATAATTGGATAGCCGTTGGCGGGAACAGAGTTTCATTCCGTCTGTTCCCAAGAGCTGGATACTTCACTTGACATTATAGTGCTGGAGGTTAAAAGATAAATTATTGGTCGTTCGGCCCATTACAGCTTAATGTGTACTGCCCCTAATGGCTCTTCTCGTGTTTCCTTTAGAGTGGGTGGACCCGTAATCCACAACAAAATGGTAAAAGCCGCCACTCAGCGCTTTGCAGATTGCCAGATTCGGCACTTTGCATATAAAGATTAAAGACAGGGGTTGAAGTACGATAATGCTAAAAACAGACCTTTCAAGATTAGAGGGATTCCTCTTACCCCTTTACAGTGACGAAGACCGTTATCAATCACCTCCTCGCAGCGGTCCAGCACGGACTGAAATGCGACAGGTGAAAATACATGTAGTCATTCAAAGAAAAAACTTGCTCTTATGGAAGTTTTGTAACGTAACGCACCCAAACATGACCAATCCTTCAAGGCTAATTGTTTTTAGACCTATTGCTGTTAAATTAGGCCCTACCGTATTAAACATCACACACATGCAGACAGCATTTCGAATTCTTGTCCCTGGTGTTTATAGCCATACTTCGGCATTAACACGTTAGAGATGGGTAGAGACGAGACTTACCAACGCTACTTCGGGCATGTGTGCTACGAGACCTAACATGTGAGGTCTGGTGTCGGAGGACTGCATCATTACCTCATGCCACCTAAGGGCGAATGAAAATTCAAAATCAATGCCAGGTTCCAAGAGGCAAAAGATAAAAGTTCGACCTTTGAAGAAAGGACCGAAAACCGTCTCTGCACTAGTAAGTCTTAAGAAGGTTTTCGAAAACTATCCCCAAAAGCCGAACAAATTCATGCAAAAGATGACACAACGTGTTATTTGAAATGTCACTCTTTGAGTAGGGTGCTTTGGCCTCCCAAAGGTAGGTAAACAACGCTGGAAATGTTTCCTGAGAAAGAAATCTCCAAAAAATTATACAGAAAGTTTTTAAATCATTCTACAACCATGGACGAATAGGGACAGTCACAAAGCAGATCGTTTTCCTGCAACGGACAGGATCTTTCAAAAGTGGATACCGTTCATGGGCTGTGATGGCCAATGCCACGTCCTTATTCTGTGATTCAATGGTGACATCCATGACGGTCTGGTTTTTCTTGTTCCTCTTGATTTCAGCGCCATGGTTTAGCAGGAAGACGACTGCGTTGACCTTGCCTTCTATCGCTGCCAAATGCAGAGCTGTGTTCTGTGGACATAAAAAGAAAAACCACACATCTCATCAAATCGCGCTAAACACGTCAATCGCCAGTCAACAAGCCGTGAGTCAAGCCCAACGCTGCATATTCACTTGAAAAGTGACAAGTAGATTGATTTAAGTGACTTTCAAAAGGTAACTTGGCTGGATCACACTGTTACCACGGTTGATTTTTATTCAAGAATGAGATTAAAATCTACAGGTTAAAATCTACAGGCATTATAGAGGGTTTGCAAAACTGCGATCTTGCAGGCCAGTGCCTTTGTTGCATATGGTATCCACGAAGGAGGTTTCCCTGTGGAACAAAACAACGCAAGAAGGCCACCACACAAAGCCTCTATTGAAAGCGCAAAGTGTAAAAATCCAAAGACCCTGCACCTCGTCGTCATCCTTCCAGTTGATCAAGTGACAGTGAACAGTATGCAGAACATCCACCGTGTTTGTATAGTCTTCCATTGCTGCAAGGTGCATCGGTGAACGCCCGTTGTGGTCCCTTCAACGATACGACAAACGATGAGTTACCAAAAAGATAATGAGCTTGAAGAGGAGCATACCTTACCCCAGAGTTTCTTTGTGGAGGAGAGACATGTAAGCTTTCTGAGAAATGAGCGTGCAGTTGGAATTCGACTAAGGTAGCCCAAATTAATTTTTCTCAGTAAATAAATGTCGGGTTTAGGAATACTTTAATTTACTGATGTCTTCGGCATTTCGGCAAAGTTGCGACTTAAGCCTATAGCCCCAGAGTTCCTTAACCTCTCTGACAGGAAGCATTGAATCGTTTGGTTTCATGGATTTGCGTTTTCATGAAGGTAGAATATCATGATTCACCAACACCATGAAACGCCAAATCTGAAGGGGTGCCCTATGAAAAAACCACAAGCAGAACTAATGCATGGGATATCAAACTTTCTCAGCGTGTGGGAGTTGAGCCTGTCAAGAAGAAAACCTCCATAGTTTTGATACAAAATTTCTATTTTTTTGGACAGCCAAAAAATGATGTCACTATGGCACTTTATTGGATTAGGGTAAGTCTAGATATGAAAGAACCAATTTTGTCGCATTGTAGAGAGAACACGTGAGAACGTTTGATACAAGGTTGACATTTTTCCAAGAGAAATGTTCCCTTTTTAAAGAGGGCTTAAAGCCACTTTAACAATCTTTGCCTAAATGCAGTATGCACGTGTATACCCTGTTCCATCACAAATGACTCAGTCATCGATAAGGTGTATAAATTCCTCAGGGATTCTGCTGTTACTGCATTATGAATGGTTGCCACATTGCTTTGCACACATCACATGACCAGCACTGAACCAATTATTCAGAAAGAAATGAGGGACCAACACAATTAATCTAATGATTTTGTTGATCTGTACAACCTTCAGCTTGCTGATTCATACTTGACATTGATTGGCAAATGTTAACGGATGTCAAATTGACCGAACTTCGGGAATAACTTAATTTCATGGCTCAGCGTGACAAGCTGCCATTTTCCCACGCAAATCGGTGAAGCTTTTCGTAAACAGTTCAGTACAGAATTTTTTGGAACGAAGTGTTTCAAGGCGTTTACAAGCATCCAAATCATGACGACCACAGGACAAAAACCTAAGAATAAAGTTTTCCCCATTGTTAGTATCATGTCCAGAGAAGATCAATCAAATTTTAGGGGAAATTTTTTTGGGGGGGTGGCAAAAATTTGGAATTTATTTTATGCAACATTTTATGGCCTTTTTCGAGGAGTGCGGCTAAATCTTTACGCTTCAGGAAGAAAGAGAAATGAAACAGTCCCAAAGATCGCCTGTCTTATACTCTTTTTAAAAAGTATCCCTTAGGGGCTATGGATTTCCAAACGTATTGAGTTCGCAAAAAATGTTGAGCCAAAATAAAACTGGTGACACGTCTAAGTTTTTGTTACTATTGAAGATCGTGCAGATTAAATAAAGCGACTTGATATAGATCTTAACTGGGAGAGCGCCATGTTGAGAGCATGATCATCACAACGCGCTGCACGAGCACAGCCTGCCTGATTTTGAGGATAATCACCACTTGGTAGAAGTAGCAGTTGGTGAGGGCGCGTTTTCGCGAAGTGATGAATAATATTCGTAATATCGTTCTAAACTTAAACATAATAAGCTGTAGATAAGATAATATTGTATGCATTGTGTTGTAATTTAGGACGCCCACTTTCGTGAGAAGTTAAAATATTGCAGATAAATAATTCAAAAAGACAATTCCAAACGCAAACGCCAAATTCTGTCACGCGGATTCGCTGTTTAAGATAAAGGGGACTGTGATAAAACTATTACTGGTGATGAAACACAGCGGGCAATGGTACAAGAGAAGAGCATCCACAAGCTGGGGTAATGAGAAAAAGGTTCTCACTAACTTGTGGAGCAGAGCCCCCTTGAACATGAGCAGCTTGACCACCCTGTAGTGGCCGAACCAGGAGGCAATGTGTAAGGCCGTCATCCCTTCACTGTCGGTCTCGTTGATGATGTTGGGCCCAATGGGGCTGTCTAGAAGCTGTTTACAGGTGTTGAACCTTCCGTATCTAATTAAAAGAATAAATGAAGGGAGCTTTATCTCAAGCATTAAGAAGCAAAGTTGCCAGCTTACATCCATGCACAGACATAAGAGTCAAACTGTAGTAAAGGACCAAGAGGGTAAAGAAAGACTGAGTCATTTACAATAGAGATAACATGATCAATGACGCTGCTTGGTTAGAAAGGTACACTCTTTCTTGCATAATTTCTTATTGTCAACCTGGTAGGGCTGTCCCGTCATCCTGTAGCGGAGACCTATCCAAAAAGTATTGGTGCTAAATGTCGGTTGTTGTCCCACTGAGGCCCAGCAATACATTATGTCCTCATATCGTCTCTTAGTTGTTGTGGCTGGTCACGAGAATGATTTGTGACGAAGGATTTCCTAATACTTTCAGCATTATTATACCTCTTAACCATGGTCAACGGATGCCCGGAACCACAAACAGGACTTTACCCACGCACACCACTGGCTTCAGTCTTGACATCAGCTCACCTGGCAGCGAAGTGAAGTGGAGACTGCTTGTCCTTGTTCTTGAGGTTGACGGTGGCTCCCATCTCAATCAACCCCTGGACTACCTTGATACAGCCCTCTCTAGTGGCGTAGTGCATCGGGGTACAGCCAGTGCTGTCCGCGTGGTTCAGCAGTATCGCTGCCTCAGGTTTCTAGGAGCAGTTAATATTGTGACAAACTGGGAAATTTTCAAGTAGATCTCCCTCATTGACAATGCTTCTTTGATATTGTTGCTCGTAGCGGGACTATCTATTATTCGATTCAACCACTTTAGCCTCAGGTGATATGAGAACGTCTTCATGTAAATACTTGATTTGTAGTTTGTAACCTATTGTCGACAACTTTTTGGTACACTAAGTCATTGTTTTGAGGTAAACGGTTTAAATGAGTAACTGAGAAAAAACTGCTTGTAACAGGCCTAGATGTCTTCCATAATTTTATCACTTGCATGTATCAGATTTGATCGGTGTGATAATAATGGAACTGTCGTGGAGAGATAATAATGCTGATATTTGGAAGTGAATGCCGATTTGGGAAAGGAACCAGTCTCACTAGAGCGAACCTGTTCTGCATTTTCGTTCTACTTGCCAGTAATTGTTAATGGTTAGCTGTACAAACCTTGAAAAATTCTCTACCCAGAATCTCCAAGGATCCCCCGTGCAGCACAATCAGATGTAGCACGTTCCGGTCTTCACAGTCGGTCACTGTGACGTCAGCTCCCCTTTCAAGGAGGAGCAGGACGGAGCGCCAACTTCCCCGCTGGGTAGCCAGGAGGAGGGGAGTACGCTGGTTCTTGTCCTGGGCATCGATGTAGCTGCCCTGGAAACCAAGAACAAGAAGTCTTCACTGTAACTGTGTAGCTTTTTCACCATATCTCAAATTTGAACAAGGACAATGCGTAAAATTCTAGATCATTTTATGTGTTATTTCTAATTACCTCTTGCAGAAGGTAGTCGACGATTTCTGCATGGTCGAACATGGCCGCCCTGTGATAGAACACAGACGAAATTCAATTAGCCAATCTGTTGGTTGACTTTTCAACTGGAAGATGACAAAATTAAACGCAAAACATTTTCGTTGTCACATGAAGAATGATAAAATCCAGGTAAAAAATTTGCTATGGCAACGATATTCATTTCGGCATGCGCACGTAGAGTCTTTGATGACTCTATAAAATCCAGGATTTCAATTTTAATAAGCTACAATAATTCAAAAGATTAATATCTTCAGTGACTGAGACAAAGAATTTATTATCGCTTCGCAGTCGCATTGACGTTAGAATTTGAGTATAAAAGTAGGTAAATAGTTAGCCTACGTAATGTCTGTTTTCAGATTTTAAGGAAATTGAACCAGTGTATGTTCCTGGACATAATTGAGGGTCATTTTGATTTTACAGATAACGAACTGCATGTATTTCAATAACGTCATTCCACGTTTGGGCCTAACTATGTGACCCGTCATTCCAAAACCGAACAGAAGTAAGTACCTTCCACTGGTCATGTTCATGGAAGTTCCACAACGGTCATTGCCCATAATTACCAAAGCTTTCTGCAGAATTTAAGACCTAGACCTCGGATTACTTCGAAGTGTAAAAAAGTGTGTGAGATGAATTTGCAATAATCGTAACTACCTACATCAGCCTGGTTTTAGAATGGTGGATAACCCACCAGTTCCAAAAAAAATAAAAAGACGGTTAAAGTGGCCAACGGGGCCACGCCAAGAAGGCACGAGGGGCTCCTAAGAACTACCGTCAGGCAAGCTCCAACCTGTGGAGAGGCAGCTGAAGTTGGCAGTCGGGCACGTTGAGCGCCGTGTCCTTGTCCGTCTGTCCAGTGGAGAGCATGAGTTTGACGATATCGAGGGAGCCTTGTGTGCAGGCTAGGTGGAGTGGCGTGGCACGCTCACCCTGAAACAAAATGCGCATTGAAACCTTGAGGGCATTGGTTCATCTATTTTTTAAAGTCCTGTCTCCTTTAAATTAAATGCTCGAGCATTAGAGTGATGCACACTCAAATAGTTCCCTTTTTCTTTGATTGGAAGTAGCAGGCGTTATGTTAACAACTCAAAAAGATAACAGCACATCTATATCATAAACAATGGTGACAAAAACAAACCTCAACGAACAGACTCAAACTCATATGAGCTAAGCTTAAGGTTCCTTGGAATGGTTTTGTGGCAGCAAAGAGGAGCTCAGCACAAACGTATCGCCCTGCTTGCACATCGTGATTTTACATTCTTCCCCTCTGAAGTACTGTATTACCTTGCATTTGATGACCTGCTGCACGTCGATCCGAGCCCCGTACTTAAGGCACAACTTCACGGCGGCGAAGTCCCCGCTGTTGACGGCGCTGTGGAGAGCTGTGTTTCCTTCCTTGTCGATGTAGGCCAAAGCCTTTCTGCTGATGCAGCTTTCCTTGTCTGTACGGCGACAAGGAGAAACAGAAGAACACACGAAAAAATTAAAGGTGACTTTTGATGTCGGAATTATGGATGTGTCAAAATTAACATTGATTTGTCCCCAAGTGACTGGCCTGCTTTACAAAATAAACTAACCCCCCCCCAAAAAAACATTGGTTGAATTTGGGGGGAGGGGCTCAAACATCACATTATCCTTTATCACCCTAAGACAAAAATCAAGAACCGAAAACCAAATGCCAAATTGCCCCACCCCTTCCCTGAAAAGACGAGGTCAGACCGGAACAACCGACACACCTCATCCAATTCCACCAAATCTCAGGTGACCCAACCAAATCAAATCCAACTCTCCCCGAATCGGTTTCAACCCACCACATCCTATCGCCAACCTTCCCGACCCAACTCTCCAACTGAAATTACCACACCTACGCTACTCTTTGCAAAACACTGAAAATTGCTCCGCAGAAGCGATCGAAATTTACATGGGGGAATACGCATGAACTCATCTTACTCATCATAAATAATAACGTAGTCGGACGTTGTACTTACAGAATGCAATGAGCAAATCCAGCACACCGGCTGAACCGTGCTTGGCTGCCGCGTGTATAGCATACACTTCATTGCTATCTCGAACACAAGGGTTAATAGCTGGTGTGCGAAGCTGCGGAGTGACACAACCAAATTGTCTGCAAAGATTAATGACTTCTGAGCAGCTCATTTTACATGGAGTCAAAACATCATGACAGACCTTTCAATCACCAGGACTTTTAATATCTGTGGGAACACTTACGTTCCTGCAGATATTAGATATAAAATAGTAAACTTCGAGATTAAACCTAATGATTGAGGTTATTACTAATTAATTTCGACGTTTGGCTTTGAGGTAAGAGCTTATATGAACTAATTGCAATGATCATACGCGGATCTTTGGTCTGTTGCATTTCCCGCATATCCAAAAGCGTGTTAAAACCCCGTATGTCTCTCTAAGAAAGGCCATTAATGTGACATAAAGACATCCTCAAAATTTTGGTGCTTCTCAGCAAACACTCCGAAACTTTTGCTCTACATCAGCCCTTAGCAATGTATCGGAACTGATGAGACAACTGGAAGTTATTATCGAAGTGGTTTCACTTGATGCTTTGTGAAACATGCGGGTATGCATGACTTGCGAGAAAATGAGCGATAAAGTTTCAGGGCTTCGTCTCGAAGTTGTCGATGAGAAAGTCAGACTTTCGGCCCATCAACGTTATCAGAAGAGGAATGGCGAAAATGTGAAGATCAATTTTCTCTTTCAAGTACAATTTTGACAGATGAAAGTGCTCTGCCTGATATGCTCTCACGTGTTGATTGGGAAAGAACTTAATCGGAGATGTCACACTACCATGGGATTTCAATATCGGGGTTTAACCATGGGTTGGGAAAAATGATTAATATTAACTAAGAATTCTAAGTCTTCCGACTTCCATGTGTTTTTCCCACGAATTACTTCAACAAAAATGTATGTCTTTCAGGAGATACGTTTAAATTGACGCTGCGAGAGAGAAAGAAAAGTGGATTATGATAACAAACATGCATATTTACTTTCCACCGACGAGTCTTTTTGAAGCAGTTACATAAAATTTCTAGTGTGTACGAAGAAAAAACAAAAGGCAAAGACCGAAGTACAAGATTAAAACTTACCAGTATCTTTACAGCTTCCGTGTTATCTTTTATGGCGCCAAAATGGAGGGCGGTTTGGCCCAGGTCACCTTGGTAATTGACGTCAATGTCTCTCCGCTTTACCAAAGCCTAAATGAGAACAATTTGAACATTTGATCTCTAGAAGTAACTATTCTGTTGTCAGAAAGAGGTAAACGTTAAGAAATTAGATTTATTCCCCCTCCCCGCAAACAAAAGTAACCACAAACTCTCAACTCGCGTTACGCTATAAACGATGCCCAGTTTACAGTACTGAGGATCATGCCTTGCTGAAGAACCATTCGCTAATGTCGAACTTTAATCTGACACTGAAGTAAAAATGCACTGACCTGACCCACTGTAGTAAAGTCGTGGGCTACTGAAGGCTAGTAACATGCTAGAAATTGAACATCTGCATAAAGGACGTTCGGAAATAAGTGAATAAACCGCACGAACGATTTTTTTGCAAGTATGATTGTGTTAAAATCCATAATCGGTACTTATATGACGGAAAACCACTGCTCTCACACATGTTGACGCGAAGAGTTCGCTTTCACGGGTACGAAAAAAATCATAATGCCCTCTAAGAGTTGGTTATTATGTCTGTGGAATTTCATGCAAATGGCGGCTCACCTCGAGTGCCTTGGTTTTATTCCGATCCGCTGCCAGGTGGATGGCGGCCATGTTGTGGTTGTTGAGCCGTGTGCTGCCGGCACCGTTGTTCAAAAGAAAATCAACGGCTTCTGGGTGGTCGTGCTCTACGGCAACATGGAGCGGGGTGTTACCTGCAGCGTCGGTCACATTGATATCTGTCGAGACACGACATTAAGAAACAAAAAAACTTAGAATGGTACGAGGAAAGAGGAAAAACTCATTACTTGGTCTAGTATGATTCTGGGGACAAACGGGATCGGAAAATTAAAGTGTTAATAATGTCTTGAGACATTATTTGGAAGAAAAATCAACACTTTAAATCTAGTTAGGTGTAAAATCTTCTTACCAAAAATCAACACTTTAAATCTAGTTAGGTGTAAAATCTTCTTATCAACTGATAAGCCAATCCTCAGCTGAGAGCAAGAGAGCCAGCTGACCGAGAACTGTTTCTTTGTTACCATGGCAACAAAAAAATCCTCATTTGCTTTTTTTCAGTCACATGCAAATGCTTCGAGTTCATTACAAACTCCAATTGACTGCAATCTTCTGCGCATTAGCTTATCTCAAACTAAAATTTTAGCAACTGTTAATGATGATAAGTCACTGCCTCCACCCAAGTACGAATCAATGTTGTTTCTGTCAACTTTGCCATTTACTAAACTTCATACGTATGGAATATGCATCGGCAGGTGTTTCCGTTTCTTTTGCACTGTGTAAACCAACGCCCATTATAAACGCGGCTTTACCTTCATTAGAGACATGTAACCTTTAAATATTAAACATCTTTCGGAAACAAACGTGTTTCGGTATTCAGAAAGTGTTGCCACCCGATAAGCATGTTTTTGTGTCTTGTTATTGGCACCCAAAGGTGTCATTTGTGTCTAAATTTATTAACAGTCAATACGTATTTATTTGAGAAATAAACACCACAATACTTTGATTTAACACCACAGCAAATTCTTTAAGTGTTACCAGGAAGACATTAAAAGGCATTTAAACATTTACACTTGTTTTTACAGTATAACGTCCGAACATATCGAATATATACAGTATGAGCCAATGCAATTCTATCTTTTCTGTAAAGCCAAATTGATACCCTGACATTGACCATGTTTATAGAAATGCATACAGTACTCTCTATTCCAGGCCAATTAATCCCAGACGAAATTCCACTTGGATTTCAAGGGCAATGAAAACAGTGCCTAATCTCCCTCAGCCCAGGGAAGCTTGCCTCCCTTTTCTGCTTACTAGGAGGAATCAAGCAGTGGGAGTGGACAGAAGTTCAAGGAAGCTTGCAATGCTAACCTACCCTCATTTTGCTCCAGGATAAATTCCATGATGTTGATGCGGTTGCGGGAGGCGGCATGATGGAGGGCCCCGGCCCCTTGCTTGTCCCGAAATGCCAGCCTCTTGGGGTCGGCATGGTACATTCGCACAAACTCGTCGTATTTACCCAGCGCTGCCAACTTTGAAAGAGGGTGAGAGGTAACGGGGGCTAAATACGAATCAAAATGGACTCTGAACAATGTTACAGTTGGGCAGAAGACAATAGTCTCCAAGTGCATGCAATGAGAAATCAAAACTGATGATCTCCCGTAGTGTTTAAAAAGACAGGGCAATCTCATTTCCTTAGCAACCTACCTGCTCATTCTCGACTTCACTCTTAACTTCCCTCAAGTCAGGCGAATCCCATTTCTCTTTGCTCGGATTTCGCCTTGGTGGCAGTCTGATCATGACTTGCATTTCCTCGGACGCGGCGACTTCCTTGGAGCGACCGAGGTTTGTCCTACTCGTCAATCTACGGAAAGGGTTCATGCTGATGCTGTCCCCGAAATCAGACTGCCTGTGGTTGTGACCACGACCAGCGCTTTCCCTGACTTCCCCTTGACAGTGGGATTTCGATGAGGCACGACAGGTCGTGCATGTCGTCCCTTAATATTATTTAAACGAACAAAGCTCCGGCCTACGTCAGCAACATCAAGCTTTGGTAATGGATGTACGTTAACATCCGACAGAGACAGAAAATACTAAGAGCTTCAGTACCCACTGCAATTAATCTTCCAATAAAAACTCGCTCGCCCTCTTCGCTATCAACGACTCCGCTGGATGACATTGCTTGTTTTTGTGATTAGATAAGTACAACCGTTGTTCGTGCTTTCATCAACTCTTTCAAATGAGATATGTCGATAGGAGATTAAGAATTTGACACTGATGCGATTGCGCAGTTTACTCTTTTACTTAGCGGCAATTTTGCCTCGCTTCTGTTTGTTGCGCAAATCTGTCTACGCATTTTCGTGCGGGTACATGTATGATTAAGCAATATTAAAAATACAACGACCATGACGCGACCTATTTAACGCCTGAAAAAAAAGTGGAGACAGACTCTCCTGTAAATCTCAAATTTCACTGGAAACTTTTTTTTTGCCACGCTGATCCTTCATGGGTGAAAGTCATGTACAGTTCACGTTTTTATTCAAGTCATGAAAATCACATGCTGCTTTCTAAAATACATGGTGCATAAACCGACATTTTTTTCACTTTGCAAATACATATAGCATCAATAACACGTCAGAATGACTTTAATGAATTTACTTGCATGTAATGTTAAATTTACAAAATGTAAAAACACAAAATTGATACAGCCCTGCTAGGCTGAAATCAAAGGAAGACTAGAATCTGCCCCCTACTGAACAGCGGATGTGAGAAATTGAAAATATCATATAAAACTTTATAAATTTTACTTATACAAGGAAGATCTCGCAGCATCCAACAATGGATATTTAGCTCAGAGGAAGCACTTATCAAGTACATTGCCTGAATACCATCAGATTCAGGTTTGCATTTGCGCATTCAAGCGCCGAAATTTACCAGTAGTCGCGAGATTCCGGGCAAGGTTCGGTGCGCGTGCAACAGGTTAGGAACCAGGAGCAAGGTACTCGCATAATGTCTTTACATGACACTGTCAGTGTTGCTTAATTGCAGAAAAATCTCTTTATCTAATATGATTTTCCCTGATCTTGGGGTAAAATACCAAATTTCACGTCACTATGAAAAATCGGATAATCTCTTATGCTTCTTCCTCAATTTCACAGCAGTTTTAACAACGTCCATATCTAAAGCTCCACAGCATTCCTTTTTAGCATAAACCCGTAGGGTGTGGACATTTCCATTAGTCTCTCCATTTTCATATCAACATACAAAAACAAACGACTTTCCATTTAACACTTGCCACCCGTGTCAAAGGGCTTGAATTCTCTCTAAACAAACGCCAAGCCAAGCATGGCGTAGGGTCGTCTTAATTAGAAGTGTGTAAAAAACCATAGACAGACTTAATATTGTGACACGTCACAGCTATATTATCGAATCTCTTAAGGTTCTTTAGTGCAAACAGTGAGGACAGGGAGTTATTAAACTCTCACTTTTCCAAAGAGCTGTACAAACTCGTTACTCCTAGACTTCATTTGTGCGGTGTCATCACCGGGGCTGAACGTGTATTAGACTCTGGCTAGTCAGTAGTATTGGCGCCTATCAGGTGCACCACAGTGACAAAGAATCCTTAATTCATTAAGTAAGCGTCAATCATGACAGTATGCAGATACACACAATAAGGAAAATTAAGCCATCAGGGTAAGAACAGAGAGAGTAGGGCCTAATTGATGAGGCTTCAATCACTACTCTGCCAGCTTGATTAAAAGAAAAAAGTTCTCTTTTTGTCTCCCCAATATTCGGAATTTTTAGACAACGTCATACGCTATATACGGTACCATTAAAATAGAGACTTTGGCGAATGGCAATCAAGGGAAGATTAGTCTCTTTTGTGAAGTAAATTGATCTGAAAGCTTTACTGATGTAGGAATTTTTTGTGTAAATGTCTAACACATTCTCGGCAAAGCTAATCCAGGCACCCCACGATGCACAGCCCACCACTGGGAAACACAATGGTAGCTTTGTCCTCGTTGAAACTACCCTCGATTTCAAAATATTGTTATAAATAAAAGTGGTACAGGCTAGCCAAACGACTGATCTAGAGATTCAATCTCATTAAGGGTTTCCATTAACAGAATAAAACCTCTGGGCTTAGGATCTGGTATGGCATACATGAAATGGCCTATTATCGATCCATGGGACTTGAAAGCTTTTCAAGGCAGGTTTGCGCGTCATAATGTTTCTACTCCCAACTTCACGGACTGATGTGTGATGAGCAATGGTATATCGAAGGCGGGGGGGGGGAGCTAACGACTGCCCATTATTTTTATCCGTGAAGGAATTCTTCCTGCCTTCCCTACCCCCAAAGAAAGGTGGTACATATATACCCTTTGCTAGAATTTTGGCCCTATCAATAAAGACAACATTTCTCGGGGGTAGGGGATAACTTGTCCCCTGCCCCCCCCCGCTGGATACGCCACTGGCAGTTAGGTGTACTGGAAAATGCACTCAAATCTCACATTTTGACTAGCTTGATATTCAGGTGAAGTCAAATCTCAGCGGGAACCCTGGAGTGGGATTTCATTGCCCTAATGTCACAAACATAGACACTTATGAATTATAATATCACGGCACTGTCTAATATTTTTGTACAGCAGCTTGAAAAAGTTTTTAAAAAGAAGGTATGCGAAACTAATATTGTAGTGCAAGAAGCTGGGATTAATATTTAAATTTTAAAAGAAATAAAAGAAAGCACGGAAAAAAAACAGTGGAAATTCCTCGAAAGAGGATGAAACTTGTGACAGATCGAAGACAAGTTAACAACAAAGTTCTACTAAAGTTTATTCCCCTGACAGTATGCAGGTAGAATATCAAGAAATATAGTGCGACGAATTAAAATTAACGAATATAAAGACCCCTGGATGTAAGAGAGGAGAGGAAGTGTTGGCATAATTATTTTGATCAGTTATTTTAACATTCGTCAAAGGTGTTTGAACGACTCCGCGCCATCCAACATGAGTAAACCAAACATGATTTGATTACTGTTGCAGACCATCTCCTCTGGTTTCGTGAGGGGAAGCCTTTTTATGTTCAAGGTTTAGCTGCAACGGTAATTGACGGGTTCGGATGTGGTTTGTTGACGGCGGAAGCAACGGGCCTCGGAACCGGTGGTTCTATCTCTGAGAAAACCAGGTACACTTAATACTTCAACTTATTTTCAGTGAGGGATCTTCCGTCTGCTCTTCACACTGACAACCCATTTGCTTCGCATAGTTTACATTAATCAACGTGAGCATTGGCTAATTTCCATACGCCCTTTATACAATTGCATCAGATAAATCAGATATAAAGTCACATACAGTCAGTACTGTATGTTTCAACAGATATCTGTAGAAATCTAAATCCCGCATGATAAAGATGAAAATTTGAAATATAAATAGAGTACGAGACTGCCTCATTGGACTGGTCTTCGTGCATTTTAGATTTTTGGAAGTGACGGGTCAATTTTTGGCAGGATATTCCTCCTTTAGGTCGGGTGATTTTTCAGCTTTTATAAATTGATATACTTGCAAATATTTTCCAAAGCCCCTTTTCCGAGTTGGATTTTCAAAGAAGTAACTGAACGAAAAACAAACAAACAAACAAACAAACTCTAAAACCTTTGCACGTTATTTTCCTATCCAAGGGTTCCGGAAGCGCTCCACCAGGGGCCAACTTTCAGGCTCTATTGGCCGTCAAATAAAATACGAGCACGGTTTGTTGGCTGTCGCTGTAAAATGGTAAAGGTTTGCTGTGCCGTAGGGTGCCATAATCGTGAAGATACTTCAAAAAAGCTGCATTTCTATCGGATTCTTGCCGATCCTTAACGAAGAGCGAATTGGATCTCTGCAGTTTGACGCGAAAACTGGACTCTAAACTTGCACACGCGACTCTGCCGTGTTCACACAATTTACCATGCTCATAACAACATAAGTGTTATTGACATTTATGAAAACCACCAGTTCCTTCACAAATCCGGCCAAAACGTGTTTGTAAGCTTCCAAACTCTTGTAGTTTTTCAGCGATTGTTGTGTGTACGCCGATGTCGAATTGATGAGGTAGTTGAAGATATCAGGATACCGTAAATCGGGAACGTGACTTGCACGCATGACCTCACAAAACATGAATTTCGGTAACAAATATGGATCCGTAGAGCCCAGTATCTCCAGCTTCTGAATATATCGTGCCCTGTGAACACCATCCCAGTTATTAGCAGTGTCGGAAATATGATTTCTTTCATGGGATTCGTCCTTTTCTTCTCGAACATCGATCCAAATTGCATGTTACTATACACTGCATGCACGGGTTCGGATGTGGTTTGTTGACGGCAGAAGTCACAATTATTTTCTCCCAAAGTCATCGTCAGAAATTCTTGGTTTGGGTATCGGATTATAAGTCTATAGATTTTTCTACTCACACTAAACTTTCATAAGTTTAAACAGTTTACCTTGCAAGTGTATGCTGTCACTGAAGTTGAATCCTAAATTATCACACAACTATTTTGGTTTTTATTTCTTTGAAATTTCTTTCTTGTAACTTTGATGAAACTGATACTTATTTCAAAAGGCCATAGAAGTTTAATTAGGCCCCTAATTATGCAGTTTCAGAGTTAAATGAATTTGTCCCACGTTCTCACCGAAAGAAAAATATATCATTCAAAGAAATTTGCTCATGTTTCAATCAAAGAAAACCACCCGATTTCACTACCCACCGCTACTTATAAGTGAGGCCTGTGCAGCAAAATAGCCATGCTCTAACTGTGATGCTAATATATTATCATACGATGCAATACAGTAGGCAGACTTGTGAGGGTTGTTCGAGCCTTCTGCTTGCAAATTTTTTTGCAGTTCTTGCAGGCTATTTTGCTTCAAAGGCCTCACTTATTAGTGGCGGCGGGTAGTCGGATCGGGGGAGAGAATGTAGCAAACTACGTTAAAAAGTTTAATCTTATTTCAGTGCCTACTGTCATGCATGCTGCAAAGTATTAATATGAAAATGATCGACTGAACACAAGACATCAAACGAATGTTTCGATTTTTAACATTCAGCATTAACATATGGAAATGACCGTTCAATGAAAATATGCAACCTGGGAATAGAGAATATATTAATTTTGATTATAAAAACCAGGACGGTTAACTCACCCTCAAAATGCGATACGGACTGTCGGCGATGGAACACACCCCGGTGGTTACCTCGTCAGCAACGGGCGTCCGGTCGCCCTTGTCTCTCCCCTGGCCCCGCCCTAGAGGATTCATCTTGGTTCCATCTCCGGCACTCCCGTTGCTGGTGGCCACGTAAGTCAAACCCATGTTCCGACCGAACCTCAGCAGCGCGGAGATACTGCGGACCCGCGGTACAGGCGTGCGGTCGCCGTTCTCCATGCTTAAGTTGGAATTTCAACGCTCGCTGTTTACCCTTTTATAATCTCCCACCATGGAATTGCATCTGTCAGAGAAAACACAATATCAAACTGCAATATTTGATGGGAATTACATGTGACCTGTCATCACAAAATGAGCTGAAAGCCGGAATTTTCACAAATTGAGTTAGGCCTATTGGTATTTTCGAATTCAGTAGAAAGAGTGCTTTCAAATGGTACGTACATGGAACACTTCAGGCACACCTTTGCATGGGTGCGTTTCGTACGCAATGCTTTCATGCGTTTTAAGGTGCCTTTCCACATGAACGTTTTGGGGTTGCGTTGCGTTCATGCGTTTCTTTCACGGACACAAAAATCTACTCCACATAGCACACGTGTGCACTGCGTTCGGCGGATACACAACGCCTGGCGCAAGTGCTGACGTGCATATGGAAAGGGTAAAAGTATAAGGCGACAATGTGGCATTATTCTGGCAGCTTTGCGTTTTTTTCCCAACATTGTTTCAACATTTCTGACCAGCCACGAATAATTACTGTTATTAAAGTTGCTGAGAAAAATGAAATTTCCGATCCTGTGAAAGATTTGGAATTAAATAGGAGACTGGTTACTCTTTCCAATTATTATTAAATCCCCAAATTGACATCCACTTAAACATGACTTTGAAACCTCAAAATAAGAAAGAGTGTGATGGAGCTTTACGCTCAGTTTGTCGTGACGGGTCACATATTCCATTTCGACACCAATTCGTACTGACCACAAATTTAATGTCGTAAATTGGTAACTAGGCCTACTTGAAACTACAAGTTATCGCCAGGTTATTGAGTCAGTTCGTACCCTCGGTCAGCTATATACAGTCAGTATTTCCAGCGTTTGCGTCAACAGTTGCTAAATGGGTCACGACGAATGTTTGGAGATCTCAATCGACGAAAAAAAGTGTTTTCGGAAGATACTGGAAGCTGGAATTATTGCAAGTGTGCTATACCTTTGATTTTACGTACTATCGGTCATGCACAAACGCCTGACACCAAGAACGACAGGTAAGTAGAAAACGCTTTATGCAATAGAGTACCGAAGTGTGATGTCACTGTGAAATGTGATGTCACTGTGAACCAGAAAGTACACTGCAAACGAATGGAGTACGCGCGCTTCTTGGTTCTCGGGCTCATGTCTTTTACACAGTAATTGTGCACGTGACGTATTCACTTCGATACCCTATTCACAAGTGCGCCTGATTAAATCAACGGAAAACGAGTCACTTATTTCTTACTAACACGGTACACGAAACGTAACCACCAACGCGATAGTTTTTAAATTTGACCATCACGCGGCTATCCAGAACGTGCCAACGGTGCAAAAAACGTAAGGAATAATGCGTGAGTTGTATTTACGATTAAACGTATTCCGCATTAAAGAGGTGTTCAGGCGTGGTTTTTTGCCAATACGATGATTTGTTTTCTCCAGTTACAACGCTTTCCCCATTTTTAAGTATAGGTGATTTGCACTTAACTCAGTCAAATGTCTCTGACCTATATAATTCAGAAAAAGATATTATTGCGCAACATTAAAAGATGGGTATTTATATTTTTTATTTTGTATGCACTCATCACTTTAAAAAGTCGCAGCAAACGCCTCGATTTGCGTTACATTTTAGAAACGCCGGCACGGCCCACATTAACTTTGTTGCACATGAAATTTGTGTTCATTGATAATGGCACCATATTCTCGGGGCATTATTTTTTCCTTCATTTTCAGGAATACATGCATACTGGTACAAAGTTTATCCTGTCTTTGCCCATTCTTTGTGGAGCCTTGTGAAAGGAAAGAAAATGTGATTTTCCTCCTTTTTGTTCATCTCACTACCTTCCTGGTTCAGTTACGCTCATGAAAAATGATAGAACAAAAGATGACACCTGAGCTTTTTAAAGTACCTAGAGATAATCTGCTTCCTTCCCAGAAATTTGTGAATAGATTTACGGTCACTAAGCACCGGCACTAAATAAAGACAAGAACGTACAGCAGATGATAAGCCGATCAGATAACTGACTGAAAGATGCCACAGAAGTCTAGCCTTCTCGGGATCCTATGCTTCTACAGACAGGCTGGTTTAGTTATATTGATCTGGTGCACTAAAACAAAGCAGAGTGCAGAACTATTGTTTCGCAATGCAACTGTCCTTCAGGAAGAAGTGGGACAAGCGCTTGAAATAAAAGGGCAAGTAGTTTCAAAGGCGATTTAAACCTTGGAATATCATCGAGATTGATTGGATTTTTGTCCCGACAAAGCCCACGTGGGGGGAGGGGGCGAATGGAATCCTTGCCTATTATTGTCATCGTGGGTCCTTTCACTATGCAAGGCCATTGTATGCATCTTGAACTGTTTCCATTGTCAAATGCGCTAGTGTACACGCAGCAAGAAATATGCGTAAACTGCAGGAGTGCTTCTAGTTCGCCAAAGAATTTTTATTTTTACATTAATGAGATTGTCTTTTGATCACATTACTTTGGAAACAATTAAGATTATTAATAACTCAAACAATTTGATCAAAGTTTGAAATCAGTGGTCTTGTAATTTAATTCTTCCCACCATATCGATGTCCAGACGGTTGTACGTGCTCACCACCGAGTAAGACCAGCTGGCACCAAACCCCGCCTTGGTGTCCTGCCATTCCCGTTTCCTCGTTCATTACAAGAGACAAACTTTACAGTAGCTTAATTGGGCATTGCAATTAAAAACTGTTGCCTCAGCCTCCTTTAAGAGCTGCAGAAAGTATTTTCCTCACGTCCTGAAAAAACAGCAAACACCATGAACTAGTCTCGAGCAATAAGCCATTTGCGAGTTATATTTGAATAACCTCTGATACACCGTGGTATCTGATTGCACATAAAGGTAACAATTTGAATTCCTCAAACTAAAGACACTGTTGGATTCCTCGTGATTCGGCGCAAGCTTTTGCATAGCGACCACCATTTCTGGAATAGACTGGTTCCTTTGTGCCCTTCTTATCCATTGAAAAGAGTGTATTGTTGCAAGGTGTCTCTTATGTAACTAAACAAAAGCTTGTGCCCAGTTCGCTAGTCCGCGAAATCACAGAGCAATTAACCCTGGCTGGTTCAGACACCATGGGAATAAATCCTGGGGTAGGGTATCTATCTCCACTTTTTTTTGGTGGGCCATTTGATCATTCTTCTATCCCTAACATTTTTTAGTGGGAAGAAATACGACTTTTCCAACAGCAAACCATCACGAGTAAGGTTTGGATGTTTAGAAAATGAACTGAACTGGCTGTTCTGGTTTGGCAATTACAAAAAAGGACTGAACAAATACATGTAGTCAAATAAAATTTCAAATGCAAGTGTGCATATAAGATGACCTTTCTCGCTTGCCCATAGAAGCCGTTTTACGCATTTTCCATAGCAACATGCGTTAAAATTTAGCGGCAGCCAAGTAAGTTGGATAAGGCCCAGCATCTTCATTTTCATGTCGTAATTTTGAAGGCGTTTTAATATTAATAAAATCGTGATAAAACAAAAAGTAAAAGCGGATACCAGGGCCCTATAAGTAGAGGCTAGAGGCAGATCGTGCATAGTTTATTATCTTTATTCCTACCAGGTTTTATCTTTTAACCGAGCACGCTGCTTGGAAAAAGGTGAAATTTTGCGGTGCGTATCAGTTGCAATTTGTGAACAAATATCCCCTGATGAAAGTAATCGACTGGGGGGCCTCCACTAATGGGAGGAGGTTTAATGCCACTACCTGCCACCGTTTCCTAAACAGCGGCTATGGTTAGGATTAAACAATGGTGGCTCACTGTGAAGTTATGCTTCAAATGCTTCAACGGATCATCAATTATGGGTGTCTGAATTATGTTAATTTGCAATCTAACACAAATGTAGCCGACCGTGCATGGTTTCAGAAACCTGTTGGAAATTACAAAAACAGAAATATGTTTCAGGTTTTCCGACAAATTAATTTTTCTTATTCCATTCAAGTTCAAACAATTCAAGTCAAGTTTTGTACATAATTGCCGAACATACGACAGATGAAGCAATTTCGTCATTTTGCGATCAATGTCATATAAATTCCATTTGGTCGTAATTTATAACTGTACGCTGTGGTATCTTTTGCGTTTTCATTTTTCTTATTTCAACTTCAACCTATTTAATTTATTCTGGTAATACATGTATCTTTAACGCAAATTATGGCCGTAGCCGTAACGATTTTTTCCCATCCAATGTTTCTGCAACACTGTACCCTTATTCAATGTATGGAAACTTTTATATTCCTACTTGATTAAATGAAAAACACTTAAAATTATCCAACTGACGGAGCCACCGTTACTGTGACGTCATCCAAGGAAGACATTTTTGGTTAAAATTTTGAACCCAGAATTTCTGGGAAGAAATTGGTGCCCCCTTATTGCGATAAACATAAATAACGATGAATCCGCAAGGAGAGAAAATGTAGTCCAGCAAAATCTACCACAATGTAACATTTAGGCTTTCTTCTCGGGAAGACATCATAGTTTTGCTTTTGAATATAGAAATAGCATTAGCATAAAACCAAATGGGCAGTAACATAACCTTTGAAGTGGCGTAACCAAAAGTTTAAAAGACACGAAGGAGCATTTTGAAAGTTTGTTTTGGCCAAATTGATTGCAGCTACCCTTTAATATATCCTTTCCAATACCTTTTTGTATATCCATCTAGTTCTTTGACAATTTCATGCGTCAACAACGGAAGAAATAAATCTATAATGTATAGATAGGTAAATGAAACTGCACAGACCTACTTTTAAAGCATTTCGTGCAAGAAATAAAACGGACTAAACGTCTGAAAAGCAAAACGCATTAATATTTCACAACTTTCCGACACAGCGACTCAGTTCTTCTTGCTCTTTGGATTGGTTCTTCAACCTTCAGTTTTGCATTCTGCAATACACCGTCTGTCATATATGTTTGTGCATGGCTCTGCGCCATCCCACAAGTCTCATTGAAATAATGATTCTCAAAATCAAACAATTCAGTTCTTACATTATGTGGATGACGCATTCCTTTGAAATCAGACCT